GGGGCGGGCCCCCCGTGCTCCCCCTGCGCGGGCTCGCTGGGTTGGTTGGTACGTCTTTGGCAGAGCTGTACTGTACATCATGTTGACAGTAGAAATTACATCCTGAGCTTATGTTTTACACTCTGCCCTGTCAGAACTCACCGCAGCCCAGTGATCAGGACAAATTGAATAGCATCCCGCCCGTGTCAATATTTATTTCATTTTACAAATGCAGCCCGATGCGGGAGCGCGGGGGGAGCGGGGGCTGGCGCCAGCGCTTGCGAGGAAGCACAGCCGAGCTGCTAATACATCACACGGCCTGACACAGCCCCAAGAGCGTGTGGACATGCGCTCAGGTGCTGCAGTGGGCTCCGACATCACTGCAGTCCTCCCGGCCCGGGCAGCGGGGCTCGCGCCCCAGAGACCGCCGAGGGGCCGCATCAGGCAGCGCGAACACGGCCTGCAGGACCGCACGTGCACATGCCGCAGGCGCACAAAGGCCCGACAAGCTCACGATTCGGCAGATAAGACCAGGCCTGAGCATGCGCAGGAAAGCAGAGGGCAGGCTAGGGCTCCACTACCAGCAAAACCTGGTGCTGAGAAGCAAAGCGGCAGCCTGGACGCACAGTGCCAGGCACAAGACCTGTGCCCCAAGGAGCTACCCCGTCCCACCAGGGGCTACAGCAGGCTGGCCACGAGCTCGGATGTCCGAGCGGCACTCGCTGCCCGGCGGCTCAGCGAAGAGGACGCAGCTAAGGTGCGGAGCTGAGGCTGAGCGGAAATGGGGGAGCAGGCGCCAGGGCCAGGGCATCACCAAGCATGGGGGGGGGGGCTCCGCTCCAGAGCCCGAGGCCTGGCCCCAGCCCCAACCACGGCTCCAAGCAGCACCGCACAGCGAGGGGGGCCACATGCAGACCACGTGGGCCCTGTAGCAAGGCTGGCAGCTGCCTAGGGCACCATCACATGCAGGCCGGGCAGAAGAAACTCATCCAGGCCTGCTGCAGACCGGTTCCCACTGCACAGCCAGCCCTGCCACCTAACGGGTACACGGGCGGGAAGCTCAGAGCCAGGCACCTGCGGCTCCATCCAAGCCCTCTCCATCCAAGCCCTGCCAGCACCTGTGCCAGAGGGGCAGCCTGCTGCGGCCGCCCGCCCAGGGACGGGTCTGTAGGGAGCCGTCTGCCCCGCAGCAGGGCCAGCAGACGTGCATGCATACGCAGGCATGCACCCGCGCACCCAGCCGACAGGCGGAAACCAGTCACTCGCGTCGGCTCGTGCTCCGAGCTGGCTGGTTCAGAAACGCTCTGCTGTCCGGGGGCACCATCGGGCTGGCCGGGCCCCTGAGGCTGGCAGGGGGAGCGAGCACAGAAAAGAGGACGCAGGGGAGCAGCCTGGCAGGCCTGGACTTCAGCTCCAGGCTAACAAGTCCCCTGTCCTCTTGCACAGGCCCCAGGTGGGCCCGCGCGGATGCCCAGCCCTGCAGCGGGCATGGACCCTGCTCAGGGAAGATGGGGCGTGCTGGGCCAGGCCGGGCTGCCCAGGGGACCGCGCGGGCTGGGCCAAGACCCCAAGGGGAACATGGGGTGACCACGGGGCTGTCCCAGCCCCTAGCTCCAGGCTTGCTCAGGACCAGAAGCATCCGCGGGCTGGAGGCCTCAGGGCAGGCTCCTGCCGGGCACTCGCCCCAGGCGCCAGCCCCTGAAGCCCATCGTGCCGTGCCGTGCCAGCCCGGGGTCCGAGCCCACCCGCGCTCGCCGGCTGCCTCGGAGCCGCAGCAGGCAGAAGCCGCCGAAGTAGCGCTCTTGCCCACGGAGGAAGCGCACCGCCTCCTGAACCGTGCTCCCGACGAGTGCATTAGTGTGGGATCAGAGTCTATATCCCACTTAATGCCTTGGCGAGACCACCTGCCTCGCAGCTCATCTCCAGCAGCCATCACTGCCGCGGCTCACAGAGATGGCCAACACATTCCTCTTTCCTCCTGTCGTCAGCGCCGTGCAGCCGCATCTCCTCCTCCGAAACAAGGTTCGAGGCCAGTTAACTCTCCCCTTTCTGGGGAAGGAGGTGGCCTGCCTACGGGGAGCCGGCACGCGCTCGGCGTGGCAGGGACTCCAGAGACCGCAGGACAATATGCAACCTCCAGAGTCAGACCTGCCCCAGAAATCACACGCCTCTCACCGCGGTACAGAGGGCAGGAGCCAGACCCTTCCCGTGCTCCTGCCCCGACGCCCAGACGAGAGGAGGAGGAGGAAATGCTCAACACAGAGCTGCTGGCACCAGGCTAAGGCTGCACAAGGCAGAGGACGACACCACCCACGCTCCCCACCGCGCTGGCGATGCAGCTCAGGCCTCACCTCAAGAGCCCTCCTGCGATGGCAGCTCTGGGATGCCCCGACCCCTGGCTGCGCCACCCATTAGACCAGCTGCTGTCGGGCCACTGGGCATGGGGCTTCCCTCTGGGCCCGCACCCCTCGCTGGAATCAGTCCGACGAGGCCAGAGATGAGCGCCGGGAGCATGCCCCGAGCGCAGCAAGCAGAGCCCCAGGCGCTGCTCGCTGCGCAGGCGCTGTCTACAGCAGGGCAGCACCCAGCCCGGCGGCTACAGGAGCAAGGGCCTTGCCTTGCGTCACTTCTGGAAGAGCAGCGGGACACCAGCTGCATCCCTGACACGGGTGGGAGCAACAGAGCTCCCCTGCTCGTGCCACGGCTGAATTCGACCTGGGGGCTCCAGGGCAGTGAGGATGGGGCCTGTGGGACTGGGCTCCAGCCCCGCGGTCTCGCACCTCCCTCTGAGGAAACAAGGCAAGAGAAAGACATGGTGCTGCAGACAGCAAGCCCCTCCGCCTCTCCCCGCTGGGCCATGGCGAACCCGGGGCCCCAGGCCTGCCCCGCTCTGCTGGGACACTGATGCACAGCATCCTCCGCCGATCCTGAACATCCTCTGGCGCCAAGCGGGGAAGAGAGCTGGAGATATCAATCGTGGCGACGCTTGGCGCAGCAGCGTATGCAAATGCCGGAAGTAAACGGGCAAGCGCTGCAAGGCTGTAGATGCGCCGAGAAGGGATATTCACCCAGCTCCTAACTCCACTTTTCCAAGGAAGCCCGTTAG